AAGCGATGCCGTTTCGTTGCTGACCCCGCCGGCTTCCACCACGATCCAAACCAGATTGTATGGAACCAGCATTAGCGAGTGCATCACACCGGTCAAATGCAGCGCTTGGAATGTCCGTACATATGTCGGCGTTACCACGATAACTGTCCTGGGATCCTTCACACCGAATTGTAGCCTCTGCTCTTTTTGAACTCTTTCGATGATCCGGTGAGCCTTCATGACCTCAATCGGGTTCGGGTGCGGCCATGGCCTGATCCGGATCCCGTGCCGCCCCACAACCACTCTCGAATTCGTCGCCGTCTTGTTGAGCAACAGTAAGTCGGGGTTCGTCACGGGGTTGGTGGACAGAACGGAGTGGACATCTAGGGTTTTGGCGAGTTCGGCGGTGGAGCGAAACGGTGACGTGTAGAAGTTGGTGGAGGAAGTGGAGAACAAAAAGAAAAAGACCAAGCGAGAAAAGCGGAATCCGAGGACTAAGCTGATTAAGCAACAGAGACCGTGGAGGATCAGCCAGAAAATGGCTGCTGGCGACTTAATGGCGCTGTCGGAAGATGAATCCAACGGTCCTGATGATCTGAAGCTGTTGCTTCGACGGTTGATGTAGCTCTGCTGCAACGCAGAAAGCTTCATTTTTTTTTTGTTGGTCTGTCTCTTGAAGCTCCTGCTAGAGAGAGACAGAGAAGAAAGAAGCTCTGGAAATATAAGAGGAATTTTTTTTTTCTTTTTCTTTTTCGGTAGGTTGATTTGGTGGGGCGTTTAAGAAGGCTAATGAGTTGTTTAATGAGAAGGATTATGATTACTTTGGATTTACGGTTGAATTGATTCCGGGTTATTGTCAGTTTGCTGCTTCGATTTGGTGCTATCTTCTTCTATTCTTTCTAGCTTCTACTTGTTTTATTTTTGATACAGTGGAAGGGAGAAAGGAAAGAGAAAGGGGGAAGACTTGGGACGAGGACATTAGCCCATGATTTAGGGGCCCAGGTCTCAAGCTTAATGCTTGAATTTTGACACAATTAAAAGCTCCATTTTCGTAAAATGGAGGGAATTTATTATGAGTTTGTTGCACAGCCTTTTATGTATGGAAAGATTTAGCTTTTTCTCCTAAATTTTCTGAATCAATAATTACTATGATTAAATAACCATAACTTGAGAATTTTCATTGATTTTACTGCTGATATTTGTAAATTCAATAAAAACAATCTTAGAGGAATGTAAGTATTGGCATTTAATATAGTACTAGTTGACGTCAAAAATTATTTCCATTCAAGTATTTTTTAATTTTATGAATAATAATTTTAGTAACTCTTACCTTACCTAACCTAGAGCCTAAACTTCATTAATTTACATGTAACAAATTAATGATTATAATTTTATGAAAATATAAATGTCATATTAACACCTCCACTAATTATCACTCTTAATTTATGAGTATTTACCAAAAATACAGTAACCAACATTAGCTTAAATATCTTACCACTTATTCTCTTGAATAGTTATTTATAATTATGGAAACTCTACATCAAATACTCATTATTTTCAAAAAATAGATTAAAATATTGGTTCGGCGCATTTAAGATTTTATACTTAAAATAGGTTTTCAAAGATTAATCTCTGATAGATAACAAAAAAAATTTCTCCCTTCTTATCAATTAGAGTAATTGGTGAGAGTAGAGATAATTATGTAATGCCAGATACAATAATATAAAAAAATTTAATAAAAATATTAAAAAAATATATCTTTATGAAAAAAATATTAGTCTCATTTAACCATTAGGGACATAAAAAAAGATAACAATTTTTAACTACGGACATGGTGGTAGGGTAATATTCACTGCAAATTTGGCTATTATGTCCTAAGAAACCATTGGAGTTAAAGCAGCCTTAAATTTTTGCTTAAGTGGCTAACGGTGATTGTAGGAGTAGGTCAATGGTTAGGTCAGATATAGCCATATAGGTGGGCCGTCGATAGGAATAAAACAAGGAATCAAACGTGAACGCCAATCAAATTTTGACACGTCATTAACCTAAATCAAAATAAACAATATTTTATCACAAATATTTAAATATTTAATTTATTAATTAATATATAATTATTTTAAAAAAATAAATTCAAATATCCTTTTTCTAATTAAAAAAAAAACAATACCTCATCGCAATGAGTTTAACTATGTTTTCATGTTAGAGGGAAGTTAAGATTTAATCATATACCAAATTTGGGATTGGGTTAATGTAGTTGACTGTAAATTATCAAGGTTAAATCTTGATTTTCCCCTGCCAATAAAGACCAGCTCTATCAAATGATGCAATGCTTTCTTTTCATTTTCCTTCCTTTCCCCCACTGTTTCTTCCCTACCAAACAAGAAAAATGATTATATTAGTATATTCCTTTTCATTTTCCTTTCTAGTCAATTTTCATTTGTCCTTTATTTCTTTTTCCCTTCTTCCCAACACAGATGAAATAACAAGGGCACCAACCTGAAAAGAAAAGCATTCCATTATTTGTTTTTGGAGGGTTTGGAAGGTGGGCATCACATTTCTGCTGATTCATCACCATAAAGTATTGCCTATAACCGAAATTATTTGAATCACTGTTCCTCAATCAAACTTTAAAGCTGCACATGTCACAAACTCGTAAGTATAAAATTATTTTGATTGCTTAGATTTTTCAATCTAATAATTCGTTGGCAACTCTGGGAACAATCATGATGCCGTTAAAGCAATCTTATTGTCTTTGTTCATGAATAAATATGCATCTTTAAGCATCAAGTCAGCCATTAATTAGTCTTTTTTTTTTTCAAAGAAGTAAGATTGTTTGATTAATTTGTCATTCGAAATATGATTGTTCATGAAATGGGCAAAAACACAATGTGGAAATTAACAAGAAGGGTAGAGTACGAAAGAGAGAACCAGTTTGGTGGGGTGGTTATGTTGATTAGCTTCATACCACCTGACTGATCGAAGTGGTGAGTTTCCTTTAGAGTGAGGCAAGTCGTGGGTACGTGCCTTCTTATTTATTTATTTCTCAACCCCAAGCTTCCCTTCCAAGGGGTCAGAACTTGCAAGAAAGCCTAGAATAATTCATGTCATTTTCTGTCTACGTGTATTATACATGAATCATATGCCTTACAGTTTTCAAGCTAATGATTTGGTCGTAAATTTACACCCGAAGATGTTATTGTCACGGTCCCTCTCGTGGAATGCAGATGAGATTCATTAATTGCATAGTTTAACTGAATAAATAGAATACTAATCAATGTGGATTATAACCATTTAGATTAACCTGCAAACTCCTAAATCAAACATGACTTTCGGTGATTATCAACAGTAACATCCTTAACCCATTCCGAATCAAAACCATGGTGCAGAAACTGTCCTGGTCTTTCTTCTTTTTCTTCTCTGTTCAAATCAAAATGCTAGGAAATCAGTGGCTTAATTGGTTGATGATGTTTGGAAGCCAGAAACGACAATTATACCAAAAATGTTTAAGTTGTTTAAACTCTAAATCTATGAGTTGAACGCCCTGACATTCTAGAAATGAGCACATCAATATATGAGCAGACTTTAGGACAAATTAAGAATGAAACACGAGAAGCATGAGGAGGAATCTATTGGGTGAAAGCTGCCTAGTGAGTTTGATATCTATAATTTCCTGATTCTATATTGGCTGTAGAAAACTCTTTCCCTTTCAGTACAAATTCCTAAAGTTGGGTGCCACAATTTTGACTTGCAAAGTTTAAAATATATATTCAGCATGTTCCTCGCTAGCTGTACGTATAAAAAGCATCACTTTCTTTGTAAAACTTAATATACCAACTTCCAGCAATTAGATATAGGTGAACTTGATTTTTAATTCATGTATATCATATAGGAATATATTGGGAAACAATAGTTTGTTGGATGAAATCATAAGATTTTGATCTCTCCTTCAACACCAAGAATTATTATTAAGTGTCCTGGCGACCTTCTCATCATGCAATTTTCCACATCTTCGTTATGAATCATACTTGGTAGTGTAGTTATAAAATGTATAACATCTTCCACAAAGTTTTCAAACTCGATTGATGATGCAAAGATGGCGACCAACGAATAATTTGGCCTAGTTTAAAAACATTTAAAACTTAAACCAGTGAAGGTGATGACCTAATGATAAAGACCTTGGAAACGAGATTGGTCAAGGATCCAGAACTGCTGATCTAGGAATCTTACGTCTTGGTCTACATATAGAACCAATAGATTCTTACATTGTCTACTTTAAAAGAGCTGGATGTCATGTACTAATACTAAATCTGGCTTAAGGGTGCGCATGTCTATGAACTTCAATGCCGGACTCCCAACAAACATTTTGACAGAAAGAATAGCAGTTGATGGTAATCACAATACGCTCTAAACATATTTATTTTCTTTTCTAAGTTGGACAAAAAAGTCACTGCTCGAGTGGAGCATTTTCACTCAACAGATTAGTAGGTTTTAGAAAGCTTGATACCACCGGGAAAGGGTTTTTTGCAGCTTTGGGTCACATTCCCCTCTTCCTTTTTCAGCAATATCACATCAAGACCTTTTTGGGCTATTCATCACATTAAGGCACTAGATTGTTTTCCAAAAGGACCGAAACTGGGATAATGGAATGGAAAATATTGAAAGAGGGCCCAAAAACTAGCCCAATTTTTAGTTATATCTTTTTTTTTTAAATTTCAATTATTAGTTATATTGACATACCAAACAGAAACCTACCACGCTGACTAGTCACAGCACTGGGTTTCTATCCCCAAACTCCACCAGAATTCAAGTAATAATCGCTTAAAATTTTGCTCAGATTGAGGGAAAAAAAAGGGAAAGCTTAAACCCAAAAATATACCTCTTTATTTTCGTTTAAACAAATAAACCCCTCACTCAAAAATATTATTAAACTTTTATTTTGAACCAAACAAACCCATAATTTTAATTATAAATTAATTATCATTGGATTAAATGTTATTTAATGCTTTTTGTTATCATAGCTTATAATATGATCATTAAACAAAACCAGAATTTAAAATTGTTAGTAGTTAGTTGTCGAAATCACCTTAAAAATATTTCTTGTAACCTCTCTCAATCTCTTCTCTCCTTTAATCAAAGTAATTTTCAAAATCTTTGACTTTTGTCCTCCAATTTAAGAACATTTAAAATTTTTAGTAGAGATCTTCAATAACTACTTCGATTAAAAGAAAGAAGATAAAGAGAGAAATCAAAAAATTATTTTTATCTTTTTGTGATTTTACTGTCGACTTTCAATTGAATATTCTACTTCATGATTACGTCAACTGATTGAATCATGTATCATGTGGATAAAAGACAAAAATTAACATTAAATCTAACAGCAATTGCATTTTCGTTTAATCCAAATGCTTGTTTCAATCAAAAAAAGATGTGAGGAACTTAGATAAATAGTCGGGTATACTCTAAGAATTTTTTTAAGATTTATGCCAAAAAGTAACCATAGTCATGCTGCAGGCTTAACGTTTGCTACCCTTTCCCTTCATTACCTCCGGTAGCTAGGACCCATTCCTCTATACTTTTGTGGCTTAGTGCCCACACTGAGCGTTGTGTTCAGTCTAATTCTAATGGGCTTACTTCTTTCAAATTGTTCACGATGCTTAATCTTCAAGTCAACATGGTTTTTCAGCCCAAAATGAGAGAAGAAAAAAGAATATACGAGAAAAATAAAAGGGTCAACAAAGAAAAAGAAATCTCCCCTTTGCTTCAAATTTAGAAAGAATACAAGAAATATATTTTCAGTATCGAACCTATCAATATACCAGGGGGGCAAGTTAGCTTGCTTGAATTGAAAGTTACTGAATTGCTTGTTTTCTTACCAATCTAATTCTTTGCTCTTCAAAGTCCAAAGTGTCCAAACAAGCCCAGTGTTTGGTTTATTGTCATGTTTGACATTTTCAAACACACACTTGAAGCTTTTAAATGTTGGACGACCCAAATGTAGTAGAAGATTATGCATATAGATACAGAGCAATCAAATATCTTCATGGCAACCCTAACAACCACGCTAAATCTTGCATGCTAGCTAGATCAGCGTAGATACCTACCCAGCCATGCTAAATAAAAAAACAATGTTCTTCTAGTTGTTACTTAGTCTTTAGAATGTTCAACCACTTTTCCATTGATTATAATATTTGGAATTGCTCCCCCGATCTTTGCTAAGCAAATGACTGTCCTCCCCTTGCTTAATTTTCATATTTGTACAATAATATAGTTTCACAACTTGTCAGCAACGGTATCATATCACTGTCTTAAGTGATTAGGGTTTTATCATATCACTTCGGACTAAGGAATTGGTTATCCTTCCTTACCTATCTTTTATATTTGTACAATAATATACCACGACAACATGTCGGCAGTGGTATCTTTCTCTTATAAGTGATTAAGGTCTAATAATATGATGATGGATTTGATATTTATTCTGTAAATATGTACGCATATTTAAATCATATTGCTAAGATGAATCAAAAATCACTTTCGTTTAACTGATATAGAAGCTAAAAAGAATAAAAGGAAATGGCATATATATGATGGCAATGCCCAGTGGGGGGCAGTGAAGGTTGTTCAATTAGTACCTTCACTGAAAAGAAACAAAAACCATGAAGATAGAAACTGGCGGAAGAAGAGTGCCCATAAGAACAGTCTTTCGGCGAGTAGTCAACATTTAGGCAGCCCACCCTCGCACGCCTTCTCTTTCTTCTCTGCTACACCTCAATTTCGTTTCTGATGCCTTTCCGTCATTGACTTTCGCACTCTGGTGCGTACGTAGTCAGGTTCATGGAAATTGCACCCTTCCTTGCTTTTCTTCCCTATCCCAACACGTGCCTTTACAAAACGTGAAAAATGATCTTCAATCAAATAAAAAATTCAAATCAAAAGGGAAAAAAAAAACACTGCTGAAACTAAGTTGCAATGAGGATTTTCTACAAGAATATTAATGGAGGAGAACTTCGGGTGAAAATAATTTGGTAGTATTGATTTTTCAAGGGGGAGCTTTGAATACTTGTCCAAGGAAGGAGGACCCCATTATTGGCTGCAATCTCGTGACTGAAATTTGGACCTTTCGTCTCATTGTTCCTTATTTAATAATGGGTTTTCTAAGTATGGGCGCAATTGGTGCACCAGCTGGGTTCTGAGTGGGGACTGTGACAAGAGATCAGAGACGTCACATCTCTGTGTACATGTGAAACACCATTATATGTCAAACTGATAACTTCACACATGCTTTGTATACTTAGATTAGATCCATTGAATGTTGAAATATAAGCACTGACCAGGGTTGAGATTTTGTATAAAGTTGGAGGGGTATTGACATCTACGGGTAATGTATACTGCATGCGATTAGCCCTTTTTTGTTATTGTCATCCAATAATTGGGTTATTTTATATATAAGAAAATATTCATCATCCTTCCCATAATACTTTAATTCTTAATTTCATTCATTAATATAATCACCGAAAGTTTTACTAAACAAATTATTTGACGCACGTGTTCATAATAAAATATATGGTATTTAACTTTAAATTTTAATGGGTTTTAACTTAAAATGTTCCACTAACCAAGTTCAATGTTATTTTGTGTTGTAAGTTGTACTAACTCCTTTGGGGAATTGTGCATAAGGGCATACGGATTATTTACAGTATACTGTTATTATTCTTTTGTTAAAAAGTGCTTGACTGGTTTTGGAGTATCATATGATTTGATGTATTTTGGCTTTTGCCTGTGGGAGAAGAGAAATGAAGGTGGTAGTGCTTACGGTGGCAATGAAGACATGCCGAACCAAGTATTCCATTCTTAGGGTTGGGGTAGGTTTTAGTTAACTAATTTTCCATTTGGTGGTGTGTTTTCTTTCAACAGCTCTCTTTTTCACTAATTAATTTGTCCAAAGTTTAGGAAGTTTGGACGTTTGGGGATTTATTTCCAGAAAAATGACTTAAAAAACATGCTGTGAAAAGACATATGGTCCAATATATAAGGGAAATTAAAAATATGTGAATCCATGTGGTGGACAAAGAATCATTCAACAGCCTTGGATTAGCGATTTGAAAGTCCACGTTCCATGTAGATGGAGTTGAAGAAGAAAATTTAAAACGCCATTGGTGATATGAAGATCCCAGAATAACTCTTTGCAAGACTTGGCAATGACCCAAGATGAAGAAATCCATTATTTCTGAACAATTTTCACTAAATTCTTGTTC